ATGCACGTTGAGCCTTTGTTTCTAATAATTAAAGTGAATGGAAACAGGAGTGGCAGCTCACTCGCTGTTCGCTAGAAGGGAAGGTGACAGTAGGTGCAGTGTTGCTTTGAAGGAACTGCCTTGCCCGAACTCTGTCTGATATCTAATCATCACTGAAATGCACCAAGGACTCCTCTGGTGGGACTGGCACCAACCAAAATCTGCCTTTACTGAGTACTTTTCAGAGAGCAGAGAAATTAATGCCCCAAAGCAGCAAGCAAGGTCAAACAATGCAACGTCAACCATTTTTTGACAGAGTAGGTGTGCTGTAAATGTCACCTGTTACAGTTTAGAGACAGCATTCCCATGTTAAGCATTTCTAGATCCTTTCGCCACAAGAATACAAATTGATGATGCTGTGCATCAAAGAGCTCTCCAGGTTAGCATACAGCACATGTCCAGCTGAAGACGTCCCAGACTGACCAACTCTTATTTCTCTTTTTTTTTTTTTTTTTTGTGTGTGTGTGTGTGTGTGTGTCCATTCTCATACCTGCTCTATGTTCCATGTCAGCCGTGCTGGAGAAACAGGCTTCTAACACGAAGCCTCTTATGTAGGCCTGCTGACCCTTAGGAACATGACCAGGCTGCCTCCAGAGCACCTCAGTGCTCTGACAGCTGTAAAAATTCATAGCTATTGATTTTGTAATTAACAGTTTATCAATGCCATTGACACCAGCTCATTGATGGCTTGAAAGGAAATTAATCCTGCAGTGTTATTTTATATTTTGCAGTCAGCTGCTGATTTTGAGCATCTTTCAGCAAAGAGTGGGAGAAGAAGAAAGACAGGCCTTGGATCTTTATTTCCCCAATTTGTCTCCATCTATATGCCTGGCTATTTAGTGCTGTTAGGGTCTCCTCACCTTACAGAGGCCTGGTAGCATAAGGGCACAGCTTGAGCATTGTCTACTGCACAGCAGAAGCAGCAGCAACCCCCGACCTGAAGCATGACTTTACTGTGCCTCCAGCACCTACTGGACTCTGTAAGCTCTGACAGGAGCTCTTGCTTCTTCCCTCGTGCCCCCAGCCAGAAGGACACACATAAAGGAGGAAGTGTGGAGCATATTTCTCTCTGAGTTCCACTTCTTGATGCTTCTATTCTCCAAAATCACCTCTGCAATTTGTAAGGAAATGATTCTCCTAACGGTGTATGGAAATTCTCCAGAGGCACCACCTGCTTCTGGGAGAATTTGCCAGGCTGTTTCTCCGTCTCTCCCTTCCTCCCTCTCTCCGTTCCTTTCTCTCTCTTCCTTCAGAATCAACCTCTGGGGCAAGCTCAAGTCACTATGATGACCCACCAGCCCTTTTCTGGGCTTCATTGCCTGGTCTCTTGGCTACAAAAAGCAAATACAGCAATAATGATTTTTTCCCAATATGCATCTTGGAAGTACAACCCTTTTATATCCCCTAATTAGTGCATTCCTTCTAAACATCTTTTTAAACAGCTTTCTTGTTAGACATATTATTTTCTTGGCTGTTGTAATACTTTATGAATCATACATCATAAATAGCCTCTACTGTACATGTATTTTATGAAATTCACAGTCTCCAATTTGTGTTGAGCTCTCCATAGAGATTATGTGTATTTCTGGAGAGATTCTGGCATTTCATCCAGCCTTCCTCCTCCTCTATTGCTGTCAGACTTGGGAAACAAGTCCTCACATTTGCGTTGGATGCATGTAGGCTGAGCAAGACACTGTTACACTGCAGAGCCCAGCTAGAGTGGCAGACAGGTGCAACTGTATGTTTATTCTAGCATCCCTTTGCTTCTGCTTCTAGATTCATTGCCCCATGGCCAAAATAGGAATCTTCACCAGTGCGTTCAATATTGATTAAAAGTCTCTGACCAATGAAGACAAGGCAACAGTGTATAACTCTGTCAGGATTGTGAGGCAGAAGCAACTATCAGCAAGATGAAAGGGAGAAAACCTTCAACAACATGGTGCTTAGCTAGCTTCTCTAATCTAACATCTCTGTTGTGGCGCCCTCTGCCATCAAGACTTCCCCACAAATTTAGCAGTCTGTGTTAATCGTCGGTGCCTCAGCTTGACCCAGGACTGGGTCACTATCAGCTGCCTTTGCCTCAGAGATACACCGAGGTGCCATGCTGGCCTTGCACTCTCTGTTAGCCTCTCCAGCAGCCTGGCAGTCTAAAGGAAGAGGTTTTGCAGGAGGTGCAGATTTCTAGAAGGACTGAATTGGGAAACTCTGGAGCAGCTGCTGGCAGTCTCTGAAAATAGGGGCATATGCACAAAGGTGGGGCTGGCAACACCCCTGGGCACACTGACTGTGACCTGCTGGGGCTTTTCTGTCTTGCTGACACCCTGAGCAGCTGCATGGCAATTAGGTAGTTTAGACAGATGAAGCGCTACAGCAGTGTTAATTATTCTTAATGAGATTGCTCCCAAGCGGCAGCACAGCAGATGCCGCCCCTTGCAGGGTGACTCCCCCGCAGGAGCATGGAGGGCAAGTGAATGTGCAAGTCACAAAGACCCCTGGCTGACCCCCTGCAGCCTGGAGTAACCAGCAAAGTGGGCACACAGGGCACAACGTGTCACAAACCCCAGTAACATTTCTGCCGTTCCTGCACTGCTAGGGCCAGCTCCTGGGCCTGACACTAAATTTCAGCACCTGCACCTGCAAGCAAGTTGGATTTTTTTCCCCTTACAAAACAAAAGAGAAAAGCAATTTATTTATAAAAAAAAAAAAAAAAAAAAAAAAAAAAAGATCTTTAGCTGAAATACTGGAAACTGTTTCCTTCCTCATGTCCTGTTTGCTTTCTCTTCTCCCTTCCCCCCAGACTCTATGCACATAGAGGACATGGATGCGGTGCAGAAGCTCCAGGACCTTCTCCACGAAGCCCTGCAGGACTACGAGCTGAGTCAGCGCAACGAGGAGCCCCGGCGAGCAGGGAAGCTGCTCCTGACCTTGCCCCTCCTGCGGCAGACAGCCGCCAAAGCTGTGCAGCACTTCTACAGCATCAAACTGCAGGGCAAGGTTCCCATGCATAAACTCTTCCTAGAAATGCTAGAGGCAAAGGTCTGACAGCCCCAGTGCCAGCCGACAATGGCCGGGGAACAAACTAGAAACAAAGATGCAGACAACGGAGCAATCCAAACAGCAGCAGCAGCCACCGCCGGCTTTTATCTCCAATCATTTATTATGGAAGAATTATTTAATGTCTATCTGTCGGCGTGACTGCAGAATCTCATGTACAGGAGGGGGAAAACTCTTTTAATCAGTCACCTGTTTCTCTTTTTTTCATTTGTTTTCTCTGTGGAAATACCAGAATATGCTCTTGCACTTGCTGAGGCGGTCGCTGGGGCTCAGCCCCTCTGAGTGATGTTGCTCTCAGCACTGTGCCGGCCGCCTGGTCCCCAGCCCCCTCCACCAGTGCTGGAGAGGGAGTGGGGACTGAAGCAGGAAGAGACGAAGAATAGAGTCAATATAAACTTTATCTGCTTGTGGTGTGAGGGGTCAGATAGAAAGGGAAGCAGCCAGGGTCCTTCATTTTGTCACCTTTCTGGCTCTAACGATAGGGCAGATGCTCCTTTGGAGAAGAGCAGTACTGGACCTCTCCTGATCAAAATGGCTGCCTCCCAGGCTCCTCTAGCGCCAGCTAACACTTGTACATACAGGCCCCACTTCTTACCGGGAAAGATGCTCCTAACTGTGTAAGATACCCTGCGACCTTGTACAGCGTGTCATTACGCCTGGCTAGTCCCTCCCGTGTGCAATCCCCGCAGGACCCTGAAGAGGCAGGATGTATGTCCCTGAGAGAATGCAAGTCTCCCAGGTAGCGAGAAAAACAGATTGTGGTGTAAGCTTTTGTGCTGGGTTGACTTGATAATCTCCGCATCCTTTCCTATGTGGTGCTAACTACAATTCTTCTGCACTTTTCGCCCTGTAGTATATAAAACCTGCCTCTTCAGTGCAGCTGAGTGCCATTTCCCACTCGTTCCTTGTGGCAGAGAGCACAAGGCTTTGTCTGCATGGTTACCACCCAAGTATAAACACACCCCAAACCAGGGCTTGCCTAGACTTCATTCAAGTAATAGATCTTTGCCTCCACAGAGACTTAGGCTTATTGCCAAATACTAGTTAGAAATCAAAGGAACTGCTTTTTGGGGGAGACAGCTCCTGAGCCCAAGAGACTGCTTTTTTTTTTTCTTCGTTGTTTTTTTTTTTTTCTTTTTTTGTGGCAGCCTAGGCAAATAAGCTTAGAGGTTGGCGTGGAACCCCCAGATCCAATATCCCAACTACTGTCTTCCCCTGCCTCATCCCATTATCCTCAACAGAGCAAAAAAGGTAGCATGAATTATCCCTGGACCTGGTAAGAGGTTCTCTCACTAATGGAAGAAGAGATATATCTGACCTCAAGGTGGTCAGAGAAGAAGTGGTGGAATGTTTGTTTACTCATGTCACTAGGTTTCTACTGTGTCTGAGCCTTAGTTTAGCTCAGCTGGTTAAATCACAACTGCTGCATTCTCAGTATACAGAGGGGATTTTGGGTGGCTTGAAAAAACTAGCTTGGCATTCTGTGAGATTTTATTTTTTTGGACACTTTGATCTGAGCCAGCCTGAGCTGGTGAGAGAATGTATTGACTGTTTGGTAGCGAGTGGCATGACAACAGAGCTGAGGAGAAGCGTCTGATCTGTATTTGAGACACCACTGCCTCTGCTGCCTCTTCTCAACCTAGGCTTACGTTCCTGTATAACCCAGTGGTGTGACCTGCAAGGAAGCCTTCCAAACTGTGGAGTGTGATCAGGGAGGTACCGGGTGCTTGTTTTCTACTGGAACTGAACATGTATCTCAGTGCAAAGCTCAGGCTAGCTCAGAAACTGGGGAAATTTCGCTGCTACTGAGCTCTCAGCTCATGTTGCTAGCCCTCTGCTGGTCCTTTAGTTAGTTCAGTTCCATCTCCTCTGAGTTCTCCCAACACTATACAGTCATAGCTACTCACCCATTCTGTACTCACTACATAAAGGAATTCAGTCCTGCTTCAGGCACATTAGTAAGCCAGCAAAGACCCAGGAGTCAGAAGGCACACGGGAGCTGGGATTGTTTCCACACTCAAAGCAGCAGCAATTACACAGTGGCCTTGTGCTTGAACAGATACCTGTGCTTCTTTTCACCTTCACCCTCCCAGAGAGAGCTGGGGAGAAAAACGATAGCTTTTGGTTGCGCTTACAATCTCTGTATCTATCTGTGAATGAGAGGGACCAAACTGAAATGCAAGCCTTCACTAGAGCCAGTTTGCAGCGTGTTGCAACCCGGCAACTCTTTCTGGCTGTGGCATGAATATTCTCACACACTTGCTGTGCTGTGCTGTTGTCTCTAAGCAGGACTCACTTGACCACTGTTGCTTCTCTGCTGAGTCCCACTCAGCTGCAGCACACTGTGTTCCAGCCTGCCTCACAGCTGTCCCAAAGTGGGCTGAAAAGTTCCTAAGAAGCAAGTCTTACTCTGCTGGGCCCTGGCTGGGAAGGTCATTTAAAAAAAGTTCCAGGGAAATCTTCTCTAAGTAACCCTGCTTGAGCAGGGGGGTTGGACCAGAGGACCTCAACCATTCTGTGAGTGTGGAAAGACTCCTCCAGCTTTGTTGAATTTGAACTTGGGCTTGCTTTTCAGAACAGAGGGGAAAATAACCTAGAAAACATGATTGTAAAGGAGGGCTGCTGAGTTACCTTCTAGCTAACAGCGACTGCTGTCTATTTAGAGTGTGCAGGCAATGGCTGTGTTGGCAGAACAATATAAAGATACTAAATTCATTTTTTTCCTGGACTTTCTTTCTCCATTACAGCTGCATAATCTTGGAGCCCAACTGGATATCCCCTCATTGCTTGAAGGTAGTAGGCCTGGAAATTTTGCTGGTTTGCTTCTGAAACAGGATGGGAACTGAACCAGGCAGTAATTAGCATGTATTTATCTCTCTATACCAGGGATGCAAACTGTTTCCCAAGAATGGGGACAGAAACACCTGCCTAGATTTAACCCTTAAAAGGCTTATACCATCTTTAGTTGGGAAGCAGGGCAGGTCTCTTGGCCTTTCAGACAAGTGCAGGCTTCACGTGCATCTCATCCCTTTCCAGTTTCTCTGATCTGCTGTGCCTCACTAGTACCAGCATGCTGCCACAAAAGAGGAGCATGTCCAGCTACACAGCAGGTCAGGCTTGCAGAAAAGGGTGACATCTTAGTGTAGTCCCCTCAGTAAAGTTTGACATGGGAAATGAGGCTTCAGCAACTGCTTAGGTCTTTGGATTCTCATAGGCTCTTACAAAGAGGTCTGGAGATGTGGAATTCAGGCATAAACTGGGAGGTGGGTTCTGGTCAGTGTTTCTTATGCCATTCATTTGTAATATGGGGCTAACAGAGTCAGCTCCATACAGCTGTCCTTTTGCATGGGGCAAAAGATGACAGTTTGGGCCTCAATTTCTGTGACTTAAAGAAAAGCAAAGCTAAACTGTAGAGGTAAGTGTGTCGGTGACAGTGAATAAGCATGAAGCTGACATGCAGCTAGTATGGTAAAAGCAGCTCTAGCCCCCAATATGCACGTGCAGATAGCAGAAACCACGTACCTGTGAGCCACTGCGAAATGGCAGATCTTCCCAAGTGACCAGTTCTTCTGTTTTGGGCACATTCTTCTCCGGGAACAGCAGTCTCTGGCCTGTATTGCAAAATTAATTTCATGGGGATCAATTAAAGGAAAGGGTAAAACTACACAAAAATGAAGTTTCTGGGGAAACTCGGGCATTACATCTCGCTGCAAAACTGTGAAGTTACAGGAAAGTCCCCTGCAACAATCAGAACCTCGCAGTACTGTTTGCACTAAGGGGGCATTATTTTTCTCTTTGTCAGCTGTCATCTTTTTTTTTAAACAATTAACAAATTCACCAGAAACATATAAGCAGCTATTAGAGGGGAAAATCACTGAAGAAGACCCTAGAATGTAACTTGTTGAGCTTTTATTACCAATTGGAGCTGAGAAAAAGTGCTTCCACTTTGTATCCACAAGCTATAATCAATTGTATGGCCGATTGTATGTTCTTGTGGCTGGCTTATAGAGGGAAGCTAAAGAGACAGAGGCTGTGAGATTGATGCAGGGAGTTATAGACAGTGAAATAAACAGTATCTACTTAACTATTATCTGCTCCTTAAAAAAAGAAAGAAAGAAAAACCTGTGAAATAAATAAATTGTATTCTTGTGGTACAGGTCATTTCAAACAAAACAAGAAATAAAACACAGAAATGTAAAAACTAATCATGACAGAGTAATGTTTATTGTATTTAGAAAATGCTCTGTTCTGTCTCTCAGGATGCACAGAGACCCACTGAAGGGGCTGGGGTGGGGGAAGGCCTCATTTGTGAGTGCTACAGAAGGGAAGGGAGAAAAGTCCAACCTCTCATTTAAATGCCCTTATTTTGGTGTTTTCCTCTATCCAGAGAAAAAATCTCCAGTAAACTTTTGACATTTTTTGAGATCAGCATGGCTGAGGGCTGGTAAAACAGACACTGTCGTCAGTATCTGGCACAGATTGGTCTCTGCCACTCACTCATTTTCTCTCCACTGGTGCAAGGAATAAACATGAGCTAGTGATGAAAAAGCCTTGAAGTTGTTCCAGTGAAAAACAAAATCTCTAATCATAAAATACATCATTGGCTTAAACCCAACAGTGACATCAAGAGTGTTGCAAGCATTGCAGCAGCTGCCCAGTGCTGATGAAGTGGGTACAAGTGCTGAAGTCATTGATCTGGTGGTCAGGAGTTGCAGAGGGCAATCTCACTTCTGTGTCAAAAAGCAGAGAGGGAAAAACGTTTCTTTAAACCATGTTCTTTAAACACATTTCTCTGTCTCTCAAGTTAGAGGCACGTTTAACTGCTGGAATATGTTCTTCAGCTCCAAATGTTAAAACAGCTTGAGGTAGTTGTTTGTGACTGCCTGCACCCAAAATAAAATGAAGACAACCAGTGTCTTCCTCCTTCCAGCTAACGTATCAAACAGTTAATGAGAGCAAATATTAGGTACAGAAAACTTCAGCGTTCAACTTTCCAGTAACAAAAAGTGGCAGAGTTTTTGCTTTGAGCCTGTTTCTTTACAAAGCCATTGCTATCAACTTGAATGACACCATGGAAAAGCTTGACCATCTCTGTCTGGGGAACAGGAGGAGAAACTGAGCAGTGTTGCTGGGGGGTGGACAAGACAGAGGATGGTAAGTCACAAACGAGCACTGAGTTTAGATAGCCCAGCAAAACACAGCAGCTCTGGTTCAAAACATTGCTGGCTAGGCAAGCCAAAAACAATGACTCAGAGCCAAAAGAACTGCAGCCAGAAAGTCTCTTTACATAAGTGCTAATCAGCTTTGAGAGGACCAGCATGGTTACGGCCTTCTGTGGGCTTTGTTCCATAGGGCTTAGGTAAGGCTAGAAAGAGCTTCAGCTCTGGGAGTAGCAGTATCCAAATAATGACAAGCAGGAGTGAGGTCACAAGAAAGACCAGAACCGGCCAGATGCTCAAAGCACCACTTGTAAGAACAACGGAGACAGACAACAGCCACCACTGACACATCCCTGACTGCTGAAGAGTTCAGTGCTTCACTGAACCCTTCCAAAATCTAACTGGCTGCATGCTGACACAGGTTGGAAGTCTTCAGCAAACGGTCTCTGGACAGGACACACTGCGTACAGAAGCAGCTGTTCTAGCTCAAATCACAGGGCCAGGTCCCTCTTGCCAAAAAGGGCCAGCAGCAGATGACCACAGAACAAAAACAGGGCACTGAGGTATAAAACTATAGCTCCTGGCCATTTACAAAAGCTCCTGAAGATAGAGATGAAGTCTCTGCATTTAACCACCCCTGCTGACTTTTCTTACATGGATTTGTCCACCCGCTTTTCGAGGTGATACAAGCATTCAGCCTCTGCAGCAGCGATGAGTTCTGTGGATCACTGCTAAAAGAAACAGCTTCTTTGCCTGCTGTGGACATGCCATCAGCTATTCTTATTTCATGCCCTTACAGCTTGCATTAGAAAGCACAAGGAACAGTCCCATACTCACTTTTCCCTACCATTCACACTCGTCTAAATCTCTCCCAGTTTCACCCTCTGTCACTTCTTTTCAGGGATGAAGGACAGCTGCCAGCCTTCCCCCTTCACTGAGTACACACTGCACAAATTAAATTAGAAAAATGGGATATTGAGAAAGGCAAACTTCTGCCTTGGGTGAGATGCTTTAAAGTACAAACACTGTCCCCATCTGAGAGACATACAAAGCTCTCTTCTTGTATCTATCCACACACAAACATTCACTCACCACATCTCTTAGCTATATTTTCATTCACAGCCCTGCTGAAGTTCACATTTACTTTCAAAACAGCTCACAGACAAGATCAGCCTATGCAAACCCTACTTTCCTAACCACAACAAGGTGGGTGTGGCCTTTTTTCCTCCATCTCAAATAAAGACACCTCAGCCTTTATCTGATCCAATCCTTTTGTCATAGGAGAAATGGATTTTTAAAAGAGAAGATCTTTAGTGCATTCTTTGATGCATCAAATAATAGATTTTTTAAAAATTCATTCCTTCCTATTGCACTATAAAACTTGATTTCTGTTTAGAAATCCCAGCTTTATTAGTAAGTTCACAAATACCTGACTACTGCTTTTCTGAAACGAACACACCGAGTGTGCCATCAAGAGGCTCAGCATCGAGTGAATTACTTTGGTGAATGAAATAACCATACATTTTGTTCTCGGATTTCAAGTGGCATTACACTTTCAATATGCTTTATGACACGGCCCCCGCATAACTGCAATCATTGAATAATAAAAAGCAGAACAGTGATCAGATAAGGAAAAGCCATGACAGAGCAAACTAAAAGCACTTTACCTAAACCTGCAAGAGTCAAATACAAAACAAGGCTTCATTTAATAGATGGGTTAGAACAAAGCAGATAAATCATGTTTTTACTCCATATGCCAATTAAGTCAAGTGCAATATGTAAGTTATGAATAATCTCTCTGGAGTGAAGAGTGTTGGATTTGGAAGGAATATAATCTAACTGAAGCCAAAATTTTAATCACCTTCAATAATTACATTTCTAGTATTTTAAATTCTTTTCTGTTGCAACATTGAAAGCAGTCATTTGTGCAAGTAATTTTCCATTACCATTTACATTATTAAATTCACACACTTTTGAACCAAACCCTTGTATGTACCTTTTTTGCCAGTGGTTAATGTTACTATAAGTCAACAAATCCTTTGGAAAGGATTAAGAAAGAAGTACAATTTCACCAGATAGTGCTGTACCACTTATTTCCTCTGCCGCTTTTTTCATCCAACCATAACCTTTCAGCAGCATCCTAAGGGAATGATGCTCACGGGGACTGTATTAGCATAGGCATCCTCTTTTCTGAGTGCTATCCTCAGCTTTAAGCACTTGTGGCTGCAGAAAATCCTGCACTGCTACTGCTGCTTCCGTGTATTTCTTCTTTCCAGCACAACTTTCTGGCTGCTCATGATTACTGCTAATGTTTGGTATGGTTTGGTTTGTTCACTCCTCAGACAGCCTCTCTCCTTCTGCCCTCTTCCTGACACACTGCTCAAGTGAGCGGGAAGGATGTCAGTGTCTATTCAGCTTCCTGTGCCAGCTGACCGCACCAAGCTGTTCTGGACCACTTCCATCTGGAAGGAGGGTCACCCAGCTTAACAGGATCCATTGGTAAGGCTCTGCTAAAACGTGCTAGCATTCCAGCCTTGAGAAGAATACAATTCATCAGAAGTGACTGCCTGTATCTAGAGGATGGTTAGAGAAGGGCATCTGCAAACAGTGATACTGACACTTGAGACAGGGCATTCTTTCCTGTCCTTCTCAAGCTTCCTGTGCAGGTAGGAAAAAAGTACAGGCCTGAGACACAGCCCAGTCAGACAGGATCACAGCAACTTCTGTAACAGGCGCAGTTCTTCGGAGAAACTGTGTCAAATCTTCCTGGTCAGTGAAATACCCTGCTTCCCTAGGGCTCCACTGCTCAGTCCAAGAGGGCCTCCAAATCCTGCCTGCGTAAGGTAGCAGAGCCATGCAGCGGGGCACCACCTGCTAATGTGTGTTGTCAGTGCTAGACTAAAAAGGCAGTGCTCCTATGATGCTGTGTTCATTTGGCAAAGTAGTTATTAACCTGAATTGAGTTACAGCAATTACAGAAATACCACTGTGTTCACATTCAGTGATCACAGAAAGCGAAAGCATTTTACAAATAAATCACAAACACCTTCTGAATATGTTTAAAATGAGCAGTCAAAAGGAAAGGACAGAACCAGGACTTCCCAACTGTGTTTCTCAACTTTTTTTTTTTTCTTTTTAAGCAAAGAGACCACTCAGCCTTTCCAAACAAAAAATAAAGTGCTTGGACTACTTGGTGTCCCATGTACTTGTCAGCTATAAAGAAGAGCAGGGGATAAAGAAAATCTCAGCAGATAGGCAAATAAGATGTTTCAGTTTTACAGAAATTATCAGGTGATTATTTTAACAAAGAAAATCTTATATAATATTTAAGTAATGGAAAGGCAGATGTGACCTCTTTTCTGCAGGTCTCTGCTAAGCTGCAAAGCCTGTGCTGCAAGCAGGGTAAAGCTGCTGGAGAGGAGTGGAAGCTTCCTATCTAAGTGCACACTGAG